GGCATATGATTTCAGCAGATATAATGGAGCTAACCCTGTCAGGACCTTGAAAGGCAATACAATCATTTTAAATTCGATCCTGTATTTTACTAGAAGTCAATGCAGGAAACGAAGAATAGGTGTGATGTGCTCATATTTCCTCATGCAACCGATGTAACACATTCCCCGTTACTAAACAGCGCATTACAATAATCAAGTATTGATGAACTGAAAACATGTGCCACCAGTTTCTCAGCATTTGGCATTGAGAGAATTGATCGAATGTGTGAAATATCGTTCAGGTGAAAGGAGACCTTAGTCACATTCCTTGCATGATGCTCAAATGTCAAGGCAGGATAAAAAAATTACCCCCAGATTCCGGACCTTAGATGAGGATTGTAAAGACACATAAATGACACCTCTCCTTAAGAAACCTCTCGACCCAGACAGCCTTGGTAACTACAAAATCTGTTTCGAACCTTGCCTTTGTGGGTAAGGCTATTTATGTCTTGAAGCTACCACTGGAGGATCTCACCTTCTATGATGCTTACGACCATCTCCAGTCAGGCCTTTGGAAGAGGCATAGTGTGGGGGTCGGCATCCACCCCACCGCTCTCGCCGGGCAGGTGGGGCACGACGTCCACCCCTTCCACTCCCTCCTCCACTCCCTCCTCCATCGAGCTGATCGGCCCCCACCGGGCCCCCGCCGACCGAGTGATCGCCCCCCATGTTAGCGCCCCCTCTGAGGGACATAGCTAAATCACTGACGCTAAACGGCTGCACGAATACGCGCACGCCAGCTGGTGATTGTATTCTAACACCCGTACGCCCCCACAGCTAACGCGACAGCAGCTGTGCGAACGCGCGCGCTCCTGTGGGCGATTATATTCTAACCCGCGGACACACCTCAGTTAACGCTACAGCAGCTGCGCGAATGCGCGTGCACCTGCAGGCCATTATCTCAACAAGCACTCGTGCTGTGGCTCTGCCCTCACTCTCGAAGCGTGTCCGCCCACGCAGACGCTCCACACATAAATCACTCACACCACACTGAGGCTCTGTGCTAACATTTATTCACAGCGCAAACCCTGCACTGCCCGGAGGGAATATTCTGTGAGCAGAGCCTAGCCTACTGCTACCCAAGTCCCCAAACACTCGCCCTATCACGTACCTCGCAGCTGTACTCACACACACCCGGTCAGTGTGTACTTGGTCGGTGGTGCGGGAATCCCCCCGCCCTCATCGTCTGCCCTGCTCGCTTAATATTTCACTCCAGCCCTCTCCCTGATGTCGTGCGTGACTCATTGCGGCTGGCCCAGTGAACCTTTGTGTGCCCATACAATTTTAAGCCAATTAAGGGGCGCCGCAATGTGGTTTGTCCTGGGAGGGTCGGCCAATCTCCTGGCACCAGGAAACTGCGGGACTTCCCACCTAGGGGCCCTTCGGATGAAAACCCGTTGTGCCAGGCGATCCCCCACCAGGACACTATGTGTGTGTGTGCTGCGTGTGTGCGTGTGCTCAGGGGGGGAGGTTAGGGGGGAATCGTGGCACTTGCGGAGTTGCTCCACAGTCGTGGCACCACATAGCCCCCCGAGGTGCCCGTCCCCGTCCCGGTCTGACTGGAGCACCTCGCCTGGGTCGCTCCAACCAGGTAGCGGCGCGGAGTCCGTGGGACTCGCCCAGCCCTTGTTGCCGGTTTTGTAGGTGGTGGCTCTGTTTTACATGGCTCCTGCGGCGGTCTCTGTCTCCATTCCAGAGGCTCCTCCTGCCCTCCAGCGTCCGCTGGCTGGGAAACAAACTCAGGGGCTGAAGGGTTTAGGTGCCGCCGCGCCCATCGCCTCCTTGCTGGGCTGGGGTCTGCTGGTAACTTGGGCCCAGCGGGGTCCATATATGGCGTGATGCCATCGGATATGGGGGGCATGGAGGGTACGGGGATTTCAGGGTTTCGGGGTACCCGAGGGGTGGGCGTCTCCCCCGCTGGGGCCGCCCTCCAGGGTTTTAATTGGCGGACGTTGACCACCGTCTCTCGATGCCTCTCTCTTCCCTGCATCAGCACCGTCCAGGGAGAGATCTGCCGCACCATGGTCCAGGGTCCGCGCCAGTCGGTGGTCAGCTTCTCCACCTGTCCGGCCCCTACACACGGGGTATGCAGCCATATCTTATAGCCCGCCGAGTAGAAGGGAGGCTCCACACGGGAGCGGGCGCCCTGCTCTTGCCGCTGATGGGCGGCCTCCCGCTGTTGGTAGGCATGGCCACGGGCTCCTCGCTGGGTCCCCATTAGGTGCTCCACGGGTTGGCTCCCATGTGGCGGAGGAACGCTGAACAACAGATCTGCTGGTAGGCAAGACTCATGACTACATATCATTAGAAACAGGGTCTGTCCAGTGGATGTGTGTACCGTGCTGGTGTAGGCAAACAGAGCGTGTGGGGAGCGATAGTGTAGCGGTTAGCACGCTGCGCTATGAACCCGGTAATCCGGGTTCGATTCCCGCTCACAGCCAACACCAGTGACGATTATCTGAACCAGTCCTTGGCCTCCCCTAGATCTACTGAGCCTAAAATTAGTACGAGGTGCGGTGTGTAAACATCGTCAACTGGGGAGACAAAGGTGGTCGGGCGTGGTGCTGGCCACCCACCCCCTCGTGTACCGTTCCGGCCTTCATAGGTGCTCGCTAACAGCACTTGCCCCTACAGTCTGTCAAGGCTATATGGGGGATCTTTGTCTTAGGTGTAGGCAAACAGAGCATAGGGGAGGTGTTTGTCCCAATCCTGTTGATTGGCGGCCGTCATAATTGTGAGCTTTCATGTCAAATTCAACCTTTTGAAATTGGCTGAGGAAAAGGAGGCTGCGGCACAGCATTCGAGCTCTCGCCAAGTGGCGAACGAGCGGTTGCGTGCACACCGCACACACAACCACGAGTGGAAGCCTGGCGATAAGGCCTGGCTACACTGTCCGCAGGTACCGCTGGCAACATCCCCAAAACTGCTGAAGCCATGGAGAGGGCCGGTTGAGGTTGTGCAGGTCGCACGGCCACAATGTGTTCAGATTAAGTGGGGGAAACGGCTATGGTATGTTCACCCCTCACGACTGAAACCGTTCATCTCACCTCATACCTACCCTACATGTCCTAAGGGCCGAGCATGTGATGGGTCTGTCGACTCGGGGAATGTGGTACCGTCGCCTGATCCTCACATGCCACTGACTGTTCCACTTCCAGGCACACCGGAATTGACGGCTTTACAAGCGCATCGGCCACCGGAGCTGGACGATGAACGTGGAACCAGGCAGCCCACACCGTGCCCTCAGGGGCTGCCTGCCTCAACCCCCAGACAACCATTCCCTGCCCCGTACGACGGACCAGCCACTCGGACCCATGCTAAATCGGTTTTCATGAGGGATGGTTGCTCACTGTCCGGCCATCCTTCTTCTCCTCACGAACTATGCGTCGGGTCGGTCGTGTCGCGGGCCCCGGTACCGGGGGGGAAGATTTTTTTGTGTATGTTGTTCATAGTGTCTAACTGTACAGGTGGGTTGGGGTAATTTATTGTAATTATTGTTTTTGTTGTTGGGTTGTTGTTATTGAGGCACACGCGATTCTGGTTATTGTTAAGCATTTTATTGTTGAGTGTTGTTGCAGCCGGGACGTCTGCGGGCTGTACAGGGGGGGGGGGGGGGGGGATGTAGAGGTGTTACGGGAGGGTGACACGCGGTTGTATAACAGTGGCCACAAACACGTCCGCTACGGCCACCCCCCTGGGAAGCTGTGGGGGATGCTGTGATCCCTCCCAGCCCCGCCCCTCAGTGAGAGACAGTATAATAGGTGGGACCCAGAGAGCTGAGGGGGAGTTCGACCCAGTCAAGATGAAGAGCCAGTGAAGAATGAAGATCGACTAGCCAGACCCTGGAACTCCTTTGACTCGCTGCCCTTTTGAGGGCCGGGCAAGGCAAGCCAGGGTACGACACCAGAGCCGCGAGGGCCGATGTCCTTCTGAGGGCCGGACTCGTGTGGCTGGTGATCGGGACCTGCGCCGAAGCTGGGCCAGGTCAGATAGCCTCCCGAGAGAGAACTAGGATAGAGGGAACTAGGGAGCTAGCGTGGGCTTAAGCTCGAGGAACACTTCCCTCTATAAAGTATGGGTGAAGAGGCCGTTACCTCTTCGAGTATCAGGGTCGCTACTATAATTGAAGTATCTGTAATAAATACGCGTTGCCTCAAGTAAACAGTCTCCGACGTCAATAAGGCCACTACATCTGTATTCATTTGTCTCAGTGTTTGCCCAACTGTGTATCACCAATGGAGTTGAGAGCGCTTGGGTGGGGACTAATGACTGGCTCTCTGCCGTACTGCAACCTGACCAATGGAGAGAGGACAGCTGAGGGTGGGGGGGCTGGATCAGACACTCAACACCTGGGACTTGGCCACAGCACACCGGCTGCGATATACTGATCTATATGATCAACAAAAGCATATACAGTATTCCTCGTTATTCACGAGGGATACGTTCCAGAGATGCTCGTGAATAGCACATTTCTATGATATTGTCCTACGAAAACCTTTTTTTCATGAATTGCCTGAAATACATAAATAAGCTATTAATTACATAAAAATAGAATAACACATCTCTTTATCTCATCACTTTCTTTCTCTCTCCATGCAGTCATGTAGAGTTCCAGATGCGATTCATGGATCGCAAGTTCGTGAATAACGTGGGAATCTGTAAATTTGTCTTCTTTCATTCATTAGCACGGTTGGCTATGTATGGTGTCAAAGAAGTTCAACATACAGCCACATTTTTTTTCACAGGATACATAACTTGAACCACAGTATATATGATTCTGCGACTGGCCTGTCATGGAAATGTGGAATTTCCACCACTAATTCAGGCCCTCCAATCAATATGTTAAACTTCTTTTTCACCGTATGTAGCCAACTGTGCTAATCGGAGGTGCGGATGATGAGCATCATTCCACACTCACTGAAGCAAGAAGACACTGACTTTAAATATTCATTCAAATGCAATTGAACTTTTGAATCTTTATTTACTCTTAAAATAACCACAAGTGACATGTTATCAGTGCACGGGACTGACAGAACTGATTGAGCTACTTAGAATGTCAGCTTAAATTTTGGCACTGCCATTTGGAATGGATATAAAGCATCACTAGATGGCAGAATTGTATTGGTAAGTTTAATTTCAATGTTATTTCACTTGAGCAGTCAAAGCAGGCAAACTCTGTATTGGTAATATTATGCAACGTAATGTCTATTTATTTTTAATTTGTACTGCCTTAAATTGTTGTGCATCACCTCTAAGTGAGCTGGTTAGTTGCTGCAAGGGCACTGAGAAGTAAGCACTACCCTCTCCATGCTTGTAGTGCCATCGACTGGCTGGAAGTTCATCTGCCTGCTATGGGTGTCCTTGCCCGACCGTAGGGTATTCTGTATTTAGCAGTTTTACTACAAGAGAAGTTCCACAGCTCTGGTGCTGGGAGCTTAAGTGCAGCGCACATCCGATATATGAGGGGCGCTGGGTCGATGCTGTTAAGATTCTGTTAAATGTGGGCGAGTGGCGCTGTGAAGCAACTGCGTCCCATCCTCCAGTCGCAGCAAGGCTCTTGCTGCCTCCTCCCGGAGCTGTGCCGACGAACTCAGCTGCATCCACTCTTCATTCTGCAAAAAAACACGTGGTACAGTCACGGACACGAGCAATATTATTTCGTTAACACCACCTGTAAAGAGCTGGCTTTACATCAAGAGTGAACGTGTTATTTACACAAGCCAATCGGCGTATGCACATTCAATGTGAACTTCTTTGTAAAACACTACGTGGTAAAAATCTCTTGCAGAGACTACACAGACTGTTGGAGCAAATGTTAGTAGCAAGCATTTATGCAGGCCATCAAGGTACATGAAAGAGTGGTGTGGCTAGGACCACACCAAGTCGCCTTTGTCTCCCCAGTGTGAATGTTTACATGCCACACTACTCATTTAGGGCCGAATTGACCATGGGGATATCACTCACCACTGGTGTTATCCGTGGCGGGAAATCGAACGCACGCTGCTAGATTTGAAGCACGGTGCACGAACCACTAGGCCACCGCTCCCCCCATGTGTTAAGAATATGGCCATACCATCACACGTATCAATCACCACCCTCCTCTCTCAGCCGGCAAAGTGAGCTGTGCACAAGCACAGCACAGGAAAAGGAACACGGGTACAAAGCTGCACAAGGACCCACACTCAACCGTAGCAGGGACAGGAGCTCTCACCAGCTTCTTGTGCTGGATGTGAAAGGCATTGACCTCATGCAGAAGGGACACGTTCCCCTCCAGATCGGCCAGGAGACGGCTCACAAGACTCAGGAGCTCCACTGCTTGCCTAAAACCACCAGAGCACACCAATAGCAATCGTCATTAGAATCAAAGCTGCCTTGCCAATCCTGTCAAGAATGCTGCAATCCCAAGATTGTTAGAACAATTGGTTTATGTCAGCATTTAATTGTTGGTACACACAGTGGAACTGCTTTAACAACTGATCTTGTAAATCATATTCTTAGTTTTTTCGGTAAAGTCACATTGAAGAGAAACAACAAAATAACAAAATATATATAAAACAATAAAAAATTCTCACGACGTTTCGACCATAACTCAAACGGTCATCATCAGGTGTGTCGGTTTGCATAAATTTATTTTGAAAACGTCATATTTATTTATTTATATATAAAAAAAATAACGTTTGCGTCACGCGCAGCGATTGGCAGTTTGCCCAGGACTAGTCCATCTATTTTTTTTTTTGAAAAGAGGAGGGGGGAGACGAAATTTGTTTTTATGTATGCTGTCTGAAAGCCACTGTAAGCGTGAACAATCAATCAAGAACTGAAATGATTTATCAAATCTTTCCAATGATTGCTAAGATAGAATCCATCTTCTCGGTTGAAATTGTCTCTGTGCTTGTATATGTGGATAGCCTCATGAACGAATCTCTCATGGAAGCCAGATGGCTTACAAAGAACCTCCGTCTTGGAAAAGTCAATGGCATGTGAGCCTACTGAATTAGAACAATGATCTGCTACGGCCGAGGTGTTGGTTCTACCGTGTTTAAGGTCTGCTTTATGTTCACGAATGCGGTCCGAGATATGGCGTTTGGTTTCTCCAATGTAACTACTACCACAGAGGCAACTTAGTTTGTAGACACCAGGGTATTGTATGTCCGGAATCACATCTTTTACAGACGGAACCAGATCACGGATTTTATGTAATGTGTTGAAACGGACCTGGATCTTGTGTTTATTCAAGATTTTGGAGATCTTTTTTGTGATCCCAGCAATGTAGGGTAAAGTGATGGTTTTGAAAGGCTCCTCAAGAGGGTTCTTCTTCATGGTTTGAGTGATAGCTTTGCGGATTGTATAGTCGGAGTAACCATTAGCCCTAAGAGCTTGGTGTACGTGCTTGAGTTCACTGCTTATGTGTTCCTGGTCGGATATGCATTGGGCTCTATGATACAGAGTCTTGATGAGAGAATTCTTCTGTGATGGATGGTGGTGGGAATCCGGTTTCAGATAAGCATCCGTATGGGTAGCTTTCCTGTAGACAGAGTGGCTCATTGAACCATCAGGTCTCTTTTTAATTAGGACATCCAAAAAAGGTATCTTGCCATCTATTTCGACTTCCATGGTAAATCTGATGGCTGGGTGTATGGAATTGATGTGGTCGAAGAATTGGTCTAGAGCAGACTTTACCGAAAAAATCTTGAATAAACACAAGATCCAGGTCCGTTTCAACACATTACATAAAATCCGTGATCTGGTTCCGTCTGTAAAAGATGTGATTCCGGACATACAATACCCTGGTGTCTACAAACTAAGTTGCCTCTGTGGTAGTAGTTACATTGGAGAAACCAAACGCCATATCTCGGACCGCATTCGTGAACATAAAGCAGACCTTAAACACGGTAGAACCAACACCTCGGCCGTAGCAGATCATTGTTCTAATTCAGTAGGCTCACATGCCATTGACTTTTCCAAGACGGAGGTTCTTTGTAAGCCATCTGGCTTCCATGAGAGATTCGTTCATGAGGCTATCCACATATACAAGCACAGAGACAATTTCAACCGAGAAGATGGATTCTATCTTAGCAATCATTGGAAAGATTTGATAAATCATTTCAGTTCTTGATTGATTGTTCACGCTTACAGTGGCTTTCAGACAGCATACATAAAAACAAATTTCGTCTCCCCCCTCCTCTTTTAAAAAAAAATAGATGGACTAGTCCTGGGCAAACTGCCAATCGCTGCGCGTGACACAAACGTTATTTTTTTTATATATAAATAAATAAATATGCCGTTTTCAAAATAAATTTATGCAAACCGACACACCTGATGATGACCGTTTGAGTTATGGTCGAAACGTCGTGAGAATTTTTTATTGTTTTATATATATTTTGTTATTTTGTTGTTTCTCTTCAACGTGACTTTACCGAAAAAACTAAGAATATGAATTACTGCAGTCACGAAAGCTTTAAATCAAAATTTAATCGCCTCTACGGGGAGGGTTTTCACATAACTTTAAGATCCTTCAACAAACTCCGGGATAAGAAAGCTCAGCTGATCGAGTCTCTCACCTTCCTGAAGAGATGCCGCGACTCTGGGGTAATACCAATCGCATTTACACTCACCTCTGCTACTGTAACTTCTTCTAATGCGAAACGAATTCTTTTCAAAACTAGCTTAGCTCTTATCTCAGAAAAAATCAGACTTATACGCACAGAACTAGATCAGTTAGACAAGACACTCTACAAATCACACTTATCATTGACGGCAATAATGTCCACATCGGATTGGGAACATGTAGACAATATGACTGCCTCTTCAGCTGCTACTATGTCGACCAAATGTAAGGAAAACCTGATTTCCAAATTTAACCTCCTCTTCAACAAAAGACCGGACCCACACACCAAAAAGTTAGACGTTAATAAAGTCGTAATTAATCGCAGTAACAGTTCTATTTCCGATGGTCTGAAATCCGTTTTAGCTAAAGGTCTAAACTTTGCAGTCACACCTAAACACATACCAGTTAATGATATAATTGCCCAAGTAGACGTTGCTCTCAGGGGCCTGGGTCACATCGCTGCAGACGTAGCAAGATCTGAAATCGCTGCAACCCTCAAAAACGCTAAGATGCCAGCTAGCAACCTCAGCAAAGATGAGCGTTTTGAATTATATAAATTAAAAAAGAGGAATGATATTGTAGTTCTCTCAGCTGACAAAGGCAATGCTACTGTCATGATGGATAAAATAGAATACAACAACAAAATTAAAGAATTACTCGACGATGGTAGTTATACAAAAATAAAAAGAGATCCCACCAACAGCCTCGTCACACAAACCAACAAAATAATTTCTGATTCAACCGCATTAATTGATCAATCTAAACAGTTTTCGTTGAAACCTTCTGCTGCCAGGCCACCAAGATTATACGGCTTACCAAAAATACATAAAGTTGATACACCTCTTCGTCCCATAGTCTCTACTATCAGCTCCCCCACCTACAAACTAGCTCGTTTTTTGTCTGAAATCCTGCGTCCTTTCACTGGAAAGACCACCTCTGCGGTACAAAATTCTACTCACCTGGTATCAACAATCAAGGGTATTTCCCTGTCCCCAGACGACCTGCTTGTCAGTTTTGATGTAGTTTCCTTATTCACCAAGGTTCCTGTACCTGACACCATTGCAATCATTGAAGACTTGGTTCATCAAGGACTAAACACTGAGGTACCCCCCCTGGTGAGACACTGTTTAACCAATACATACTTCACTTGGAATGGAACTTTCTACAAACAAACTGAGGGCACCCCAATGGGCTCCCCCCTTTCTCCAGTTATAGCTAACATTTTCATGGAGAAATTTGAGACTGACGCCATCCAGACTGCCACTCTGCGCCCAACCTTATGGAAGAGGTACGTGGATGACACTTTTGTCATCTGGCCACATGGCCGGCCTGCTCTAGACCAATTCTTCGACCACATCAATTCCATACACCCAGCCATCAGATTTACCATGGAAGTCGAAATAGATGGCAAGATACCTTTTTTGGATGTCCTAATTAAAAAGAGACCTGATGGTTCAATGAGCCACTCTGTCTACAGGAAAGCTACCCATACGGATGCTTATCTGAAACCGGATTCCCACCACCATCCATCACAGAAGAATTCTCTCATCAAGACTCTGTATCATAGAGCCCAATGCATATCCGACCAGGAACACATAAGCAGTGAACTCAAGCACGTACACCAAGCTCTTAGGGCTAATGGTTACTCCGACTATACAATCCGCAAAGCTATCACTCAAACCATGAAGAAGAACCCTCTTGAGGAGCCTTTCAAAACCATCACTTTACCCTACATTGCTGAGATCACAAAAAAGATCTCCAAAATCTTGAATAAACACAAGATCCAGGTCCGTTTCAACACATTACATAAAATCCGTGATCTGGTTCCGTCTGTAAAAGATGTGATTCCGGACATACAATACCCTGGTGTCTACAAACTAAGTTGCCTCTGTGGTAGTAGTTACATTGGAGAAACCAAACGCCATATCTCGGACCGCATTCGTGAACATAAAGCAGACCTTAAACACGGTAGAACCAACACCTCGGCCGTAGCAGATCATTGTTCTAATTCAGTAGGCTCACATGCCATTGACTTTTCCAAGACGGAGGTTCTTTGTAAGCCATCTGGCTTCCATGAGAGATTCGTTCATGAGGCTATCCACATATACAAGCACAGAGACAATTTCAACCGAGAAGATGGATTCTATCTTAGCAATCATTGGAAAGATTTGATAAATCATTTCAGTTCTTGATTGATTGTTCACGCTTACAGTGGCTTTCAGACAGCATACATAAAAACAAATTTCGTCTCCCCCCTCCTCTTTTAAAAAAAAAAATAGATGGACTAGTCCTGGGCAAACTGCCAATCGCTGCGCGTGACGCAAACGTTATTTTATATATATAAATATGCCGTTTTCAAAATAAATTTATGCAAACCGACACACCTGATGATGACCGTTTGAGTTATGGTCGAAACGTCGTGAGAATTTTTTATTGTTTTATATATATTTTGTTATTTTGTTGTTTCTCTTCAACGTGACTTTACCGAAAAAACTAAGAATATGAATTACTGCAGTCACGAAAGCTTTAAATCAAAATTTGATCTTGTAAACATAAGAAAAGGTACAACTTTTGATTTAAAGCTTTCGTGACTGCAGGGATTCATATTATTGGTTCTTTCGATAAAGTCACGTAGAAGGGAAACAATAAAATAATAAAAATTTAAAACAATTAAATTCTCACGACGTTTCGACTGCAACACAAGCAATCATCATCAGGTGTGAAAACCACAACAATAATTTATTTTTATTTTATTGTTTCCCTTCTACGTGACTTTACCGAAAGAACCAAGAATATAAAGGTACAACGTTGAGTTTAGAAACAATGATCGTGTTAAATAATCATAGTAAAATAACAAGATCTGGATTCTTGAGCGTTGCGCATCACGATGGTCATAGAATGCTTGTTTACATTCGTCTCGACCAATCAACACGCTCCCTACAACTATTCTTTGAGTCTTTCGGTAAAGTCACGTTGACAGGTTCAAAGAAAATAACAAAAACTACGACGTTTCAATCGCAACACAAGCTTGGATGACGACCGCTTGTGTTGCGATCGAAACGTCATAGTTTTTGTTATTTTATTTGAACCTATCTATGTGACTTTACCGAAAGACCCAGGCACGAAAGCTTTAAGTCAAGACTTCCCTACAACTAACTCCACACCCCCTCTGCCCACCAAAGCCATGTACGGAGCTATAGTGTTTGGTGGGCAATAGAACCTTATGACTGCACCGAAGGCTATACTGGTGTGAATATATTTTAGAGTACACGAAGTTTTTTTTTTAAATACTGTACAGTATAAAATACTATTTTCAATATAAAGTTTTTGTTTACAATATGAATAGTAAGTTATGATGTGTATACAGTATGAAATGGTAAGTTATAAAGGCTGGGAACGTATACTCCTAGTACTGTTAGAAGTTATTTAATATTTGAAGCTCCAGAAACGCATTTACTTTGTATATCGAGGTATTACTGTATTTTCCCTTCTGCATTCATGACTTTCGAACACAGCTCTCACAAAATTATAATTCTGTGAGATTGTTATCGCGGGCTGCAAGGGGTCCTCGGTCCAAAACAAATTGAGGACCACTCCTGGTGAGCCTATAATAAAGAATGCCATTCAAACAACATCTATATATACAGTGAAACCTTGGATTGCGAGCATAATTCGTTCCGGAAACGTGCTCGTAATCCAAAGCACTCGTATATCAAAGTAAATTTCCCCATAAGAAATAATGGAAACTCAGATGATTCGTTCCACAACCCAAAAATACTGTATTCATATAAAAATGATTAATACAAAATTCCGGTTTATATTTTTATTATTTAAATTTAATATAAAGTAATCAAATTTATGAATTACATTTAATCGTGGCTGGTGTGAGGGAGACGAGAGAGAGGAGGAGGGTTATTGTGTAGGACGACTTTCACTTGCAGTAGAGTTACTAAAGAAGTCACTACACTTGGACACAAAATAAAAAATGCTTTACGCACACACACGTGGTCACAACACTATACTGTAGTAAACAGTATACACTCGCACAGATGTTGACTATACGAGTGAGGAACGCCGACTGAGACCGAGCATGGGAGATGATTACCCACAATCCCGAAGCGAGAGAGAACCATTGGTTCAGTTGTGATCACGTGACGCTCGGCAGACAGCGGATACTCTACGTACTGCTCGTATTGCAAAACACTCGCAGACCACGTTACCCGCAATCCAAGGTTTCACTGTATATAAAAGGTAAATTTGTGAATGTGTCTGTTCGAAATATTTAGCATACTTCCCAAAATGCAACAAACCTGAAATTTGGCACGTGGGAAGCTTCCAGACTGTACACAATGCAAAAAGTATAAAAATAGACTTTTGTATTTTGAGGGGGAGGGGGGGCAATAATAGATATATTTTGCACGGCAAGTGAGCAGTGACGTCACATCTGTGATGTCACCCGCATGCGGCAGCGTCACGCAGTGTACCTGCTGGCGTCACGCATCCCCCCGACCCTCCGCGTAGGGCGTGTATTAATCCAAGTCTCGGGCGAAGTCTGGGTAGTAAAGCTAGTACAACATATAATTGTCAAGCTAACATTCTCAACAGCCACAGTCTCAAGCTGGCTCTTTTCCTTATTCCTGTGTGGACGTCGTGTGCTGCCCTCTCCCCATAGGCATCCACATTCCAAACTCGTGGCCACCTCTCTTCTGTCGCACTCCCCGTGCAATCTCTGCCCAGGCACCTGTGGTAGTTTGCGTCCAAAGCGATGCTTGCCATGGTGGTGCGCTCCAGCAGCCGCTGCGTGAGGGCACGCCGCTCTTTAAGCACCCCCTCCAACTCCCTGTTGATTCGCTGCAGCTTCTCTGTCTTTTGCACTGCAATCGCAAGCGTTCACAAACAATGCTCTCTGCCTGCTGCTTCCGAAGACCAATCATGTCTCTTTGCGTCAGCTTACCATGCACAGAGTACTTGTTGAAAATGGGTAATTAGAATGTTGTTTTCCCCGTTCTTCAAGTTAAATATATTTCTACGAATGTCACTCTTAACCATTACAGTTTTATCAGCAACAACATAATCAGCAACAATAGGAATAGGGAACAAAGCCTTTGCCATTGCAGCACCAACGTTTTGGAACCTTGTTTCCTCCCTTAACATCATACATCTTCCTTAAAAAAATTACTTGAAGCATAATAACGCGTAGGCTTTCGCGACCAATATCATCCATAATAGAGGTTTTTTGGGTTAGATCGCGTAAATATATAACATATAAGTGAACTAGGTCACACTTCTAAATCAATGTCCTTACACGTGTAGTGAGTCCAACTGAGTCGCAGACGTTATCTTGGGAGCAACACTATTCACAAAACAGCACGAACATAAAACAAACTACGCTCGGGTCTCGAATGCCACGGCTAGCTCCGCCCTTAGCCCCGCCCACCTTCCAGGCTCCTCGAGCTCCTTCTCGAATGTTCCCGAGAGCTCTCCGGGACCACGTGACCGCTCCTCGGCCCCCGTCCACCTGTGGCCCCCCTCCAGTATCGTCCAGTCACGTGACAACAGGTCAGCCAGAGTATCATGCCCCAGAGTAACCCTGGCTGGCTGACGCTCCCTCTCGCTCCCTCACTGGGAGCCGGCACCGCACACTGCTCGTGGTGCCCCCGCGCTAACCAGCGCTCATCCAACCACTGCTAGTGTTGGTACTGCAGCCCGCAACCTGGGCTGCCCGCAATGACATTACCGGCTATGACTTCGCAAGTCCTGGCACCACACAGTGACAGGTACAGTCACTACACACGTAAAAATGTGTAACAGTGTCTCTACAGATCACTGGAATATAATCGACACAATTACACAGCAATCAGCTGATAACGTATTTAACAAAACTAACATTACCCAAATTAACAAATTTGCTAGACTGGCTAACAAACAACTCTCAATTAAAAATTAACATTTTATAAACAGAACAGTTATCAACATGACTAACATTGAATTATACAGCGATATGGTTTCAGTCTTGTATAATGGTCTTAACTTTGCTGTTGCCCCACGTACAATCCCTGTCGATGAGATCATTGCTTAAGTGGAATCAGCAGTTAGACATCTCCCCCATAATCAAGCTGAGATGACTAGGCATGAGGTTGCCAAAACTAATGAGAACAGCAAATTGCCAAAAACAAATATTAACTTCAGCAAAGCAAAAGCCTTAAGATAATTGAGAGCAAATAAAGATATCCAAATTATTGCTGCTGATAAGGGCCGATCAACTGTTGTGATGCCCCGTGAGGACTACGATAATAAAATCAAAGACTTACTCGATAAAGGTACCTACCTTAACAAACCAGCACCTTGGAACGTAAAACAACGGCAATCATTGCATAAGCAATACCTGATCAAACCAAGGGCATCAAAACCACCAAGACTTTATGGGCTACCAAATATTCACAAACCTGATGTCCCATGAAGACCCATAGAATACAATAAGCTCTGCCACGTACAAATTAGCACAATATGTAACGAAACAAATACAGCCCTACATCGGTGGACCTCTTCGTTCATCAAAAACTCTGAACATCTCGTAAATATAATCAAAGATATTAATCTTAACCCTAATGATATTCTCGTAAGTTTTGATGTGAGCTGTCTGTTCACGAGGGTTCCGGTGAATGAGTCAATTAAATTACTCGATACTCTGGTAACAAACAAATGTTTAGCCAAAGATATCCCAAGACTAGCTGAACACTGTCTAAAGAACACTTCTTGTGGCAATGTGACTTCTATAAACAAAAGGAAGGAGCAGCAATTGGCTCTCCTTTGTCTCCTGTGATAGCGAATTTGTGCATGGAAGATTTTGAAACAAAAGCAATAGCTTCAAGCACACTAAAACCATCTGCTTGGTTTAGATATGTGGATGACACATTGGTGGTCTGGCCACACGGCAAAGATACACTGAACGCATTTCTAAATCATCTCAACTCGCAAAACCCATCCATCCAGTTCACCATTGAAGTGGAAGATGACAGAACGCTAACATTTCTGGATATTCTGCTCGGACGAGGTCGAAATGGTTCAAAAATGGGCCAAGAAACGCATGATTGTGACAACACCGAGGCAGCACTGATGAGCCAGAGTTGCTCCTTGCTCAAGATCTTCTTCTCCAGTTGACTCCCTCCCTCTTCACGTTTCTATGACATGATTAATACAACCTTGATTTGAAGCTTTCGTGACTACAGGAATCCATACTCTCTGGTTCTTTCGGTAAAGTCACGTAGATAGAAAAAAATATAATAGAACACGACGTTGCAGTCGCAACACAAGCATCCGTAATCACGTGAGAATGATCTGCTGTTGTGGCTTTATGTAGGCACGGGAGGGGGGGATAAGGAGGGGAGGGGGTTTTGTAGAGTAAAATTAGCATGTCAATGAGATTTAAATCTTGACTTAAAGCTTTTGTGGCTGCAGGAGTTAACAGGGGGGGGGGGAGAGGGGGGTGGGTTTGTGGCGTGCAGGGATGGGGGGCTGGAGAAATTAGCATGTCAATGAGCTTGAATTAGTAAACGAAAACAGCATGGGTGCGTGAGTGAAAATCACAGCAGTTAAAACTTGACGTGGTTTATCATGTCCTTCCAATGATTGAGCTTTTGTGGTTGCAGGAGTTCACAAAGCAGATTTGAAACACGGTAGAACCAACACCTCGGCGGTGGCGGATCATTGTTTCAACGCTGTGGGCACACATGACATTGTTTTTTTCCGAGAACAAGGTGCTCTGCAAACCCTCGGGTTACCATCAGAGATTTGTTCATGAAGCCATCCAGATATACAAACACAGACAAAACTTTAATAGAGAAGATGGATTCAGATTGAGCAATCATTGGAAGGACGTGATAACCACTTCAAGTTTTAACTGCTGTGATTTTCACTCACCCACCCGTGCTGTTTTCTAAAAAATACAAGTTTACTAATTCAAGACTCAAGATTTAAACCTCATTCACATGCTAATTTATCCAGTCCCCACCCGTCCCTGCACGCCACAAACCCTACCCCTCTGGATAATGCCGGCTCTAGCGAGGCATGGCGCGCGATGTAATTAACATCGCGGACACCCCGTATATGTGGGTGTGCTACCAGCCCTAGAGGGGCTCGGTGAGCCCTGATAAAGAACGCTGAGTGGCACCACGCTCGGCGTGCAGTGCTGTTCCATATAGGAGGGGGGTAGGAGAGTGCTGGCCATGAATGGGGTTAATGTAGGCCATGGCACTCTGGTTGACCTGAGAAGGCACATGAAGGGTAAGATCTACACAGGAGCCCCCAAGTGGGGGCTAGGGGTGGTCACATGTCAGGGCGAGATCCTGCGAGAGGATTCGAGAAAGTGATCATGGCCAAGGGCGGAGCCAGCCACGACCAGGGAGCATATAAACCGGGTCCCCAGAGGGACCGGGGTTCAGCGTTGCTGTGTTATCCTGAAGATCTACGTTCTACGTTCAACGTCCGAGAAGAGTCACCAACACGTGGACCTGGACCCAAGCCGGGGTCCTGTCCGTTGTAGCTACTCCCAGTGCAATTAGTGTAGTTAGCCTGGTGGTCCACCACCATAGGTTGTTATCTGGTAAAGGGGCAGTTACCCCTTTGTGTTGGTATCAATAAATGTGTTGCCTCCAAGGAGTACGTCTGCGACTCAGTTGAACTCACTACAGTTATAATAACAAAAAATGGTGCTCTATTATAAGGTGTTCTACTTTCACACTAAACAAAACCAAATAGCATTACATTTTACCAACTGACATTGATTCATCTTATTAAAATAGCTTTCTTCTCATTAGCTTTGTTCCTCATTGGGCTCTTATTTTGCCACCCGCTTCTTTATTATCTTTGTAATTTTCATGCACGGCGCCTTGAGACATTGTGAATTGCACCTGAAAAGTGTCAATTATTATTAGTCCACAAGTGTCATCTACAAAAGTTCCAGTTCACATGTACACAAGGTCTTATGGCCAATGGTGCACGGTTCCTCTGGAAATATAATTGCAGGCGTCCCTCGCGTAACGCGCCCCACCCCCCTTTAGCGCAAATTCGCAAGTTACGCAATTCATCTTCGAGGGACATACTTCACACTGATGCTATGCGTTTAAAGAAAAAACTAAAAATGAAAATATTTTCCTAATTTTTTTTCAATGATCAAAATTCAAAGTAAACAAATAATAATTCTGATTGCGTCACCGCGCCATGGCAACGCTCAGTGTCACAGGCTGGGTGTGGCCATCGTAGATCTGCTGCCTTTGTTTGCATCATACATGATGCTGCAAGCAACCCACGGAAGCATTTAGAAGCCTTCAAGTTACTCCTTATTAAGTATTCTTTGTAAGTAGTAATCTTTAACATCTTATTATTTGTTATTAAACTCCTTATTAAATATTTTTTGTAATATCGATATTAAGCATTACATTTATATGGATTTTGTAAATCTAGGGCTAAAATAATGAAATTAAACGACTTAATTTATCATCGCTAGCGCATCCCCCCCTGACAACATGTACGTACGTCTGTGGGAAAATAGGCTTAAAACAGCGCGATTCGACGTACGCGCTGTCTTTTAGAAACGCATGTCACGCATCATGCGAGGGACGACTGTGCTATATGTATTTACCCAGGAGAGCCTCACCGAGTCTTGAGATTCTTTTGAAAGAGGGTTCTGCCATGAGCGGGTGATGTTGCAACGTGTAATCCAAACTGGCTAATTTTCAGGTATTTCTTTTGCATGGAGATGTTTTGGCCAGATATATTTGATGGTGCTTTTTTAATCTCTGGGAGGCAACCCATGTGATATAGGTGGAAAACATCCAAACTCCACACACTCACATGGCGCTAATCGGGAATCGAACCCAGTACAGTTCTTGCTATAAGGCACAAGCATTACCACTGTGCCACCTTGCAGCATGGAAGTCACTTACAGAGCAGGGACTGGTGGCTCACATCAGCTGTGTCCAGCACCAACTCCAGCTTCTGTCTCTCCAGCTTCATCTGCGTTGCAACAGCACGACTTACATATCACTTGAATGATGAATAATATACATATACGTTGTTTAAATTACTATGTTAACGGCCAAAGCAAATGATCTCACAATACAGTATGTCATTGGTTTAACTGCTTAAAATAAGGAATATTTATTGGCCTACAAGTCATCCAGAATGCTTCCATTAAGTATTTGTTTGAAAAAAATGAATCGGTTAACAATTTCAACTCTTTAATATAGTTTATGAAAAATAAAACACTCAAAAAAGTTTTCCATGGAATGACAATGTACGATAGCACTTACAATCGTGTGGATTACTATATTACTCTGTTTGAATGTTCATTTATTACTTTGAGGATATAAATTGAGAATAACATTGAGTTCAGAGTGGTGTGTTTATAAATCAGTGTTACCAACAAGTTGTGGCAAATAAAATAACATTAATGGATGCCCTGGTATGGGCAGAAGCCATCAAGGAATCATTTAGCGCCACGAAATTATATCACCAGTTACTCCTCAGGCCTACCTTGTTGACCTCAGTCTGCAGTGCTGCAATTTCATTTTGAAGTTTTATCTGGTGGACAACAGCAGATTCCTTTTCCACTTGTTTCCTGTTGTCTTCTATCTCCTCCTAAAACGTGAGCAGGGTAGTAACATCTTACCATCTGACCTCAACAGATTCAGTCAGTCTGTTTATTAACATGCAACTTACATTAATAAATCATGGGTCTGCATACATGAATAGTGCAGGGTGTTTGAAAATAGGAAAAGGGTGCTGTGTTTAAACTAAATATACAAATCAGGGGTGGGTTAAAATGCGCACAGGTGTAAAATGAAGTTAGGGAGAATGCGATTATCCGTATGCTGACTTTAGATTTAAACTGGGAAGAGGAACATACCGTGGAAATGTACAAGGGGAGGCAGTTGCAAGGTGTGTGGGGAACAGTGGTGAAGGAGTGACCCGCCGACTGAGTGGAGGATGAAACACTAAAGGGAGGCTGTGATTGCCAGGTGACTATATTTACAAGAGCATGATGCTGCTCACCAGTGTAGTGTGCAATATTTTCTATTTACTGCAAGATGTTCTCATCCTCAAAAAGAATGAGAACAAGTGTTATAGCTCAAATATCTATTAGTTATGCGCATGTTGCAGGATTGTGGCTGCACAGCGACTTTGAGGATCATCCACGAGCTATGCTGATAAATGTAGATGAGTGGAGGAATATTGTGATAAATCTTGACTTAAAGCTTTCGTGGCTGCAGGAATTCATATTATTTGGGTCTTTCGGTAAAGCCACGTAGACAGAAAACAAATATCACGACGTTTCGATCAACACAAGCAATCGTCATATTTTTTCCTGCCTCAGCAGCTCTCCCGCTATATTTTTTTAACTGATGACGATTGCTTGTGTTGCGATCGAAACGTCGTGATATTTGTATTTATTTTTCTATGTGGCTTTACCGAAATACCCAAAGAATAATATTGTGATAATTGTGAATGATGCGACGATGGTGGCATGAATGTTATTGTGGGGTAAAGTCTTACTTGGGTTATCATCCCATCAGCGACGGCTCTCGAAAGAAATAACGCCACACTAGAAGGACACTCCGCCTCCCAAGGGTTCCGCTCATTGCCCTGAAGATTTTTATCAACCATAGTCACGTAGATTCAGCAACTATAATTTAAAAACAGAAAGAGCAGCATGTTGGACACTGGATAAGATGTAACACTGTACCTTGATCACCCTGACTTCACACCATATAATCATCATCACCAGCTAGGGTACCAACTGCTCGATGAGCCCAATCCCATTGACCACGTGAATCCCCCATAAGAGAGAACAGCACTGCCCACATGGACATGCATCAACCGAATCAGCTGACATTAACATGCGGATGCACATAGGTGAATGGGCATTAACAACTCGTAACCTACACACGCTGTACATGGCTGGTTTAGTTGAACGGCTAAGGGTTTCCCATTTTGTTGGTAAACACGTGTACTTACTGCAAGTTATGTGTACGTGTGTATACTGAGTATAGAGGTATTTATGAGGGGGTTAGCTGCAGGTAACCGTGAGTCTGGGGCAGGATCTCTCAGTGTGTGCAAAACAATTTGGTAACATTGCGTTAGCAATGGTGTTAAACACAAACAAATAAAAACGTTAGGCAATAACACTGCCTTTCAAGAAAAATATATAATAGTCGATGTTTTGGGAAATTGCCCTTCTTATTTGTGCAATGAAAGGCCACTGCATATCCACAGGCATCCCTCGATATACGAAGATATGTTCCTGAAAATGTATCCGTAAAGTGAAGTTCCGTATATGGAACCCTTATTTTCCCACTGACCTGCATATAATTGGGGATACGTTATGGAAAATTGGCCCCAAGACATGATAAAATCAAACGTAAGAATACAGCAAATCTGACCTTTAATAAGCAGATTTAATGGAAAACAGATACATTTTTTTAAATGTGTTTATCGTACTCAAAATAAGTCGTGAAATCAGAATAAGGAATCTTTATTTAGTCAAGAGGAATCCAATGAGCTATGATTTTTCAAACATGTACAGCAAAAATCTATTGTACATTATTGTAGTTACCAGATACTGTGATTGCCCATGTGAGATGGATTTGCAAGCCTGTCTACGGCGTTCATGATATAGTTTTGCCATTAAAAAGTATTCCTCAGGTAATAAGCCTTGAAGGTGTTGATCACGAATTGATCCATGGACTGAATCAAGCCAGTCGTATTTTTGGGAGGTACTCCCACCCTCACATTATGAGACCAATCACCTAAATTTACTGGGTGCCATGGGGTATTGTCTAGGATGGGCAATGCCTTGTTGGCGACATTACTTTTGGCATGGAACCTTTCAACAGCAGGCCATTTGTGAAAAATGCTGTCGCCCAAACCTTCTTGTTCGATCGCCAGGCAAGGTAGTTAACGTCTCGCCACGGTGGCGAGACGTTAACTACTTTGCCAAAGTGGGCTTTACCTTTCCTATACTCTTCACTCCCATCGAATTTTGCTTTGTTCGTTGTTGTAACTTCCTCACCCGCCCCTTCTGGACATCCGTGCAAAAAAGCTTCATAGCTCATCGGATTTCACCAGGATAAAAAAAGATTCTGATTCTGACCAGGCGTGATCAACGCAAAGGACTGCACCCAAACAAGCCGAGGCCGGTAAACACGCAGCACGGGAACTAGTGCAGCGTGAAATGCACGCCGAGCATGAACCAAAGACCGAAGGATGGAAAGAGGTTGTGAAAACGAAAGGCCGAGCGAGCATTGTTCGATTTCCTACACCTCCCAACCCCGTCTCCAAAACAAATATGGATTAAACATTCCGTAAATGAGAATTTAACGTAAAGTACATCGACTTAGTCCCCGAGTTTATAAGTTAGGGTATAGCGAAATTCCGTGTATTCAGTCGACTTATAACGACGGATGACTCGACTGTATATCGATGAATGTGTTTTTTTACATACAGAGACGTATGCACTATATGACTTTTCGTCGGCTCAAGTGAATTATTATAGCAGAGTTCCCGTGTCTGACCCGCCCCTACTGGACACCTGGAGAAAAGAGCTTCAAATCTCATCGGATTCCTCCCCGTCCACTCTACCGGTAATTGAAGATCTCCATTCTGTCTCTCACCTCTCCGCTTTCCCGCTTTCCGCATTCAATCTGCGTCTCGGGCACCGCCACCCAATCGGAGGCCGCCTTACTCACGCGCTGAGCCAATGGGCGACCTCAACATTTAAGATACCCTATTGTTTTATATTAGGGTATTTTATTGTTTCCCTTCTACGTGGTGACTTTACCGAAAGAACCAAGAATATGAATCCCTGCAGTCACGAAAGCTTTGAATCAAATTTTAAGATACCCTAGTACAGCCAATCAACGAGAACCTATGGTGGCTCGCATCGATACGTCGACAAAACGCGTTTCGTAATTAGTGGCGGCTCCGTTGATGTGACGTAATCAGCATAACTCAACGTTTGAACTTTTTTTTGCCAGTTTCAGTTTTTTTTCATTTATTAGGTAGAGCCCTCTGAGCCATGTGGCTCATGACTCGGGTGCAACCGCAACAAACAAAAACATGAACAAAGAACATCTTAAAGTGACTACGCGCAACAGAAAAATCCAGGAAAAAACAGCAAAATCCAGGAAAAAACAGCAAAATCTTCCAGAAAAAGCATCGTATATCAACGCTGTATGCAAAAATTCCAGTGGGATGCAAGTAAAACAATAACAACCATAAGACAATTTAGATGAAATGTATCAGGCTAACTCTGTTCTTCAACAAACAAACATGGCTAAACCAAACGTTTTCGAAATCACCAAAATAAAGCTATAAAAGCAATTTCTGACCAAACTTTGCAGCCATAGCTGACAGCATGAGTCACTCCATAACAGCAGGAGTATCAGTAGGAGTATCTAAATTTTTCAATGCACCTTTAAAGATCAGTACACTATAATCAAAACTCAAGATCATACTTTACAGCGGTCATCCGGAGCAATACATTTGATATTAGGCCACTCTGAATAGCCGTGGCAGCTAGGGATGTACAGCTCCTCTAGAGCAGTTTTGAGTGAAGATCTCAGTGATCCAAGTTGCAGTTGATTGGCGATACCATTCCAGACCCTGGGGGCATCAATAACAAAGGCCCTTCCTCCAGAATTTGTACGGCAATAAGGAATGTGAAGCTGGTAAATGAGCGGAGACCTTAGGTCACATTTGTTCTTCGAAACAGTGACGAGATCCAGCAGGTAGTCTGCTGATTTTTTTGTAAGTACATCGTGAATAAATAAGATCTAATGCACGAGCCGTCGATCATTGAGAGATGTTAAGTTTGACCCAATGTAGAGATCGCAGTGGTGGATCCTATATGGGCAGTTCAATGCAAATCTTAAGGCTGAGTGATAAATTGAGTCAAGTTTCTTGAGTATAGTACTGGGGGCTGATTTATATACGATGTCACAGTAATCAAGTAGAGGCAGTATGGTAGCATTTATCAATTCAAAACGGAACATAGGGGGGAAGCAGTGCTTGTGTCGATACAGAAAACTAATTTATAATTTTGTCGTTTTACCAATATAATCAATGTGATCTTGAAACTTCAGTTTTGAATCAAAGATGACCCCAAGATACTTATAGATTCTGACTTGCTCTATTTGATAATTATTTAAGGAATGTAATTGGGAAAAATAACTTTCTGCTTTAGTCCTGGTGAGAAGCATCACACCTTGGTTTTGGAGGTATTCAGGACTAGTTTAAGAGCAACTAGCTGATGTAGTTTGTTGAAATCACCCTGGAGCTTAGCAATCACGTCATCCGGAGAGCGGCCAGCAGTAATCAGTATCGTGTCATCTGCAAACAGATTTACCACGGAATGATCCAGGTCAGTGCCCAAGTCATTGACATAAAGAGATAACAAGAGGGGGACGAGGATGGAACCCTGTGCAACGCCTTTTGTTATCTTAACACTGTTTGACCTCCAACCATCTTATGTATCAAAGTATGAAAAATAAGAATAGGTTCTACCCTATCTGGAAATAAAACAGGAGGTGATAAGATGTTCAAACACCCAATAGACTTTATTCCTTTTGCAAGGAATAAAGTCTGCATTAACCACACGTACGTGTGGTGGACATGCAAACAAACATGCTCTGATAATATATGGCATTGCCTTTGAAACTGATTGGCCTACACCATAGACAGCCTTCTTTGAAAGCTAATGAAGGCCTATAATGATCCATGGGCAGATATCCCGGAGGTGTCCACTGCACATTTCATCATTTGTTTCCACTTTCCTCTGTCTTGTGCCAATATGCTCAAGTAGTGCCACATCTTTCTGGCACCAATCTCTTATGTCGTCGTCAAGCCATTCTCTGTTAGCTCCTCTCTTTTTCAGAACAACACACATTTAATTTCCCTGTTGTCCATCCTACAGTACATGTGCCCAAATAGTGCCAATTTCCTTTTCATCACTGCCTGCATCAGGTCCCCTATGTACAACCTTTTTCTACCTTCTACGTTGGTCATTCTTTGGGTCTGGGTTAGATGCATTAGCCTTCCCACATTTCTAGGGTCAATATCTTTTCTCTGTCAGTCTTTTTTAATGCCAAAGTCTCGCAGGCATACAAAGCTGTACTGAACACGCATGTTCTTAAGATGTTCCGTGTGGTATAGTTGATTTGCTTGCTTTTCCAGCTATTATTGAATCCTGCCATTACTCCTTTTTCCTTTGGAATACTCTGCAAGAACTTTTTTTCGAATTGTCAACACGAGTTAAGTCATCTCAGCCGGTTTACAACGACACGGTAGGGTTTATCATGTGCTCTATAAAAGTCCTCGTCGGTTTACACACTTTGTGAGAAAGCACGCATTGACTATTAAATGTGGCATGAGGGGCCACTTTTTTCATTGCTTAACATTCTCTGAGAGGCAGTCCCCTCCTGGGTCTCCACGCACTCACTCCACCCAGGGCCGGATTAAGGTTCCTGTCGGCCCTCGGCACTTCTGTTTCGTAGGCCTTCAGTGACAACTTACTACAGTTAGTACTGCTGCTGCCCCATGCTTTAACTGCCGTTGTCACTCCATTGTTTCACACGTACTTCGTCCAGCCGCTGGACAGATGTCGTTAATACTGACACATTCGTTATTTAGTCTGTGCCCTCATTCGATGGGAGTGCTCTGTGTCCCGCAGATAAGCAAATTTAATTTGAAATAATTGGGGTGGGGGGGGGGGACAAGGTGAGCCAAACAATATTACAAACAAAAATTTCTGCAACAATTTTTCACAATGATTATTATCATATCGCGTGCAATATAAATACAATCATGAATATGAATAAAATATATATTTTATCATAAGAACAAAAAACATGGCAAATGTTTTTCGTAGGCCCTTGGCTATTGGATAATACGGCCCTGGGTCCACCCTGAGCCAGGGTGCAAGATCTCGAGAATTGGGAGTCGATCCCAAAGATCCGACCATGTACACCCGGTGCCTGCCATAACGTATATCAAATCCGTTCCCGAATTTGTAATTTAAGATTTAGCGAAATTCTGTGCATTTAGTCGCCGTATAACGACGGATGACTGTACTGTACCATGGGATCTCCCTTGCCAGTATCAAAATATAGAATAGGTTTAACCTTTCTGGTAATAAAACACGTGTTCAAATGTTAAAACACCAAACAGAAACCTTTTTCAAGGAATCATGTCTGCATTAACCAAAATACTTGTGGTCAGAATGCAAACAAAAACATACTCTGATAATATATGCATTGTCTTTGAAACTGATTGGTCCAGAGACAACATGAGGCAGATCTGAAACACGGTAGGACCAATACCTCGGCCGTGGCTGATCATTGTTTTAATGCGATGGGCTCACCCGAAATGGATTTCTCTAAGACGAAGGTACTTTGCAAACTAAATGGCTATCAATAAATATTAGTTCGTGAAGCCATCCATATATATAGAGAGGGAAAAAGTATTTGATCCCCTGCTGATTTTGTACGTTTGCCCACTGACATAGAAATTATCAGTCTATAATTTTAATGGTAGGTTTATTTGCACAGTGAGAGACAGAATAACAACAGCAAAATCCAGAAAAACGCATGTTAAAAATGTTATAAATTGATTTGCATCTTAATGAGGGAAATAAGTATTTGACCCCGTTGCAAAACATGACTTAGTACTTGGTGGCAAAACCCTTGTTGGCAATCACAGAGGTCAGACGTTTCTTGTAGTTGGCCACCAGGTTTGCACACATCTCAGGAGGGTTTTGTCCCACTCCTCTTTGCAGATCTTCTCCAAGTCATTAAGGTTTCGAGGCTGACGTTTGGTAACTCGAACCTTTATCTCCCTCCATAGATTTTCTATGGGATTAAGGTCTGGAGACTGGCTAGGCCACTCCAGGACCTTAATGTGCTTCTTCTTGAGCCACTCCTTTGTTGCCTTGACCGTGTGTTTTGGGTCATTGTCATGCTGGAATACCCATCCACGACCCATTTTCAATACCCTGGCTGAGGGAAGGAGGTTCACACCCAAGATTTGACGGTACATGGCCCCGTCCAACGTCCCTTTGATGCGGTGAAGTTGTCCTGTACCCTTAGCAGAAAACACCCCCAAAGCATAATGTTTCCACCTCCATGTTTGACGGTGGGGATGGTGTTCTTGGGGTCATAGGCAGCATTCTTCCTCCTCCAAACACGGCGAGTTGAGTTGATGCCAAAGAGCTCCATTTTGGTCTCATCTGACCACAACATTTCACCCAGTTGTCCTCTGAATCATTCAGATGTTCATGGGCAAACTTCAGACGGGCATGTATATGTGCTTTCTTGAGCAGGGGGACCTTGCGGGCACTGCAGGATTTCAGTCCTTCACGGCGTAGTGTGCTACCAATTGTTTTCTTGGTGACTATGGTCCCAGCTGCTTTGAGATCATTGACAAGATCCTCCCGTGTAGTTCTGGGCTGATTCCTCACCATTCTCATGATCATTGCAACTCCACGAGGTGAGATTTTGCTTGGAGCCCCAGGCTGAGGGAGATTGACAGTTATTTTGTGTTTCTTACATTTGCGAATAATCGCACCAACTGTTGTCACCTTCTCACCAAGCTGCTTGGCAATGGTCTTGTACCCCATTCCAGCCTTGTGTAGGTCTACAATCTTGTCCCTGACATCCTTGGAGAGCTCTTTGGTTTTGGTCATGGTGGAGAGTTTGGAATCTGATTGATTGATTGCTTCTGTGGACAGGTGTCTTTTATACAGGTGTAGTGGAGTACAAAGGTATGTTGTGGAAACAGCGTGATTACATGATAACAAATACAGTACAGGTTATGTGAGGGCAATTAGGTTGGGAGAGCCAAGGACAGCTGTGATTGG